TGTATATATATATATATACATGTGTATATATATACATGTATGATGGATATGATACAGTATCCCCTCCAACAGTATTGGAACAGCAAGTGAAATTCTCTTGTTTTTGTTGTACACTAAAGGTTTTACAATCAAAAGATGAGCATGAGACAAGAGTTCAGCTTTTATTTTCTGGTATTTACATGTAAATGTGTTAAACAACTTAGGAAATATCACCGTTTGTATTACACCACAGCATTTCCAGGTGAGCAAAAGTAAATAACATTTAAAGGGGACCTATTATGCAAAATTCACTTTTTAAATGTTTTTTTTACTCAACTTTGGGTATGTACTTCTTAAAAAAAACAGTCCTAGGACCAAAAAAATGCACCCAGGGGCATATTTACTGTGAGTAAATGTATTTTTAATGTATATTAATGACAAGTTTTATACTTCCGCTAATTTGTGATGTCACAAGCCGTACGACAACCCACCAGAACCTGCGTTCAGCCCCTTATCTAGCAACCCCCGGGTGAGGCTCCTCCTCCTCAGTATAAAAAGCCATCACCATGTTGTTGTGCAATACGCAGCTCAATTCACAAGTCTCCAATAGGGCAATGGGTAGAGTGTTGGACCAGAGAGTGGGAGACCAGGGTTCAAGACCAGCACAGACACAATTTAATTATTTATTTATTTTCATTCTTTATGAACACGTTTTCTCATGTACCTCTATTGTTTAGCTTATTAAAGCCTTGTTAAAGCCTATTTGTTCGAGTTTCTGAGGTATTTTGACCGCTGCTGCTCCCTGCTCTGGTAACAGCATGCAGAGTGAGCGCAGAGCAGAGGAGGGAGAGAAAAAAAGACACTGCGACCACGACTCTGCCTCTGGGTCTCATATGGTTGTACAATGGAGCTTCTGCTATTGTTAGCCATGCTAACGTAAACGCTGGCTTTGGAGGGCGGAGTTAATGTCAACAGATTTTTGGAGGGCGGAGTTAATGTCAACAGATTTTTGGAGGGCGTTACCAACAGAGCTCATTAACATAAACAGCTCTTCTGAACGGAAGTCAGAGCAGGCAGAACTAGAAAATGGGAAATTTTARMATCTGAGAATTATTTTGTGCATTAAATTGAATGAACATGGTCTGGTAGCCCACAGACATACCATAAAAATTTCTAGGACCCATAATTGGTCTCCTTTAANTGAGAATTATTTTGTGCATTAAATTGAATGAACATGGTCTGGTAGCCCACAGACATACCATAAAAATTTCTAGGACCCATAATTGGTCTCCTTTAATATGTGGTGGTTGTAATGACTGCTTCAAGCCTGCAACACATCAACATCACCAAACTGTTGTTTTCGTCATTTGTGATGCTGGTCCAGGCTTTTACCAAAACTTCTATCAGTTTTTGTTTGTTTCGGGGTTTTCTCCCTTCAGTCTCCTCTTCAGGAGGTGAAATGCTCTATTGGATTATGGTCAAGTGATTTTTTTTTTGACCAATCTAAAACCTTCTACTTTTTTCCCCTGATGAAGTCCTTTGTTTTGAGTCATTGTCCTGCTGCACGATAAAACTCCTCCTGATTAGTTTGGATACATTTCTCTGTAATTTGGCAGACAAAATGTTTCTGAACACTTCAGAGTTCATTCTGCTGCTGCCATCATCAGTTACATCATCAATAAATATTAATGAGTGTTCCAGAAGCAGCCATGCATGCCCAAGCCATGACATTACCTGTACCATGCTTCACAGATGAGCTTGTGTGCTTCAGATCATCAGCAGTTGCTTTCTTTCTCCAAACTTGGGCCTTTCCATCACTTTGGTAAAGATTAATCTTGGTCCGCAAGATCGTCTTCCAGACCTTTTGCTGCAAATTTCAGTTTGGCCTTCTGATTCTTATTACTGATTAGTGGTTTGCTTCTTTGTGAATGGCCTCTATATTTCTGCTCTCTGAGTCTTCTTCAAACATTGGATTGTGATGCCTTCACTCCTGCACTGTGGAGGTTGTTGGTGATGTCACTTACTGATGTTTTTGGTTTTTCTTCACAGCTCTCACAGTATGTCTGTCATCAACTACTTTTTCCTTGGCCGATCAATAGGATGTCTCTTGCTCAGTACACCAGTAGTTTCTTTCTTATTCGGGAATTTCCAAATTGTTGTGCTTGCTATGTCCAATGTTTGTCCAATGGCTTTGATTGATTATTCTTCTTTTCTCAGCTTTAAAATGTCTTGCTTTTCTCCCACAGACACACCTCTGGTCATCATGTTGGTTTATCCTCTTTAACAAAAAAAAATTCAACTAGCGGCCCGCGGGCCGGATGTGGCCCGTGAGTGACCAATGTTCGGCCCGCCAATTGGTTCATTTATCTCTTAAGCCCAAACCTCTGTATTTTTTGTTTTAATTACTCTGTTATTTTAGCTAGACATAGGCATGTTTGGTATCTAGAGAAAGTTCAGAATCTTGGCTACAAGCTGGTAAAAACCATTTCGAAGAACACCCAAGACAGTTAAAACTACAAGCAGTTGAAAATAAAACTATGAAAGTGAAAATAAAATTGCTTTAAAAATTTGGCAAGTCAGAGATGTCTAAATATTTGTGGTAAATAAGAGGGGAAATGTGTTATTTTTGTTTTATTATCATTACTTTTATTACATAGGGTTCTGTATGTTGTATTCATGATTTAATGCAGCAAAATAAACAATTTCAAAGGTAACAGATCTTTGTAATATTTGGTTTAATTACATAATGACTTGCTGGATGTTCAGACCCTCAGCTGTTGGCCTGCAGTAACTGTGGCCCTGCTTTATAGGTTTAAACCCAGACCAAAAAGTAGACTAGTCATGCAGAACAATTTAATATTTGAACAATCAACCTTAAAGGCAACACCTGGTCAATAGGAAACACCTGTTAGTCACATGCTTCAATAGTTTTGCTCACTTGAAAATGGATAGGTTCAAACAAAGGGTGTTACGTTCTGAGTTGTTTAAAATCTACATGTAAATACCAGGAAATAAAAGCTGAACTCTCGTCTAATGTTCATCTTTTAAATGTCTTCAGTGTACAAAAAAAGGTAATTTAACTTGCTGTTCCAATACTGACGGAGGAGACTGTATAGGGTTATGATTATAGATACTCCTATTTACATGCATTTCTTTTGTTTATTTTTGGTAAAGGAAGGAGTTACCCGCATTGGACCTCAGGACCAATTTGAAGAACCTCACATAGGTATTTTACCTCTTATAACTCTACAAGCCCACAGTTCTAGAGCTACAGAAAAAAACAAATCTCCAGTATATGAAGGCGGTATATTATGACAATTATGTCACCATTACTTAATGCATTAGGATGTAGAAAAAGAATTTATAGCTGCTTTTTTAATAGTCAGTCATAAAATGTTCTGTTACTTTTTCATTAAATGCTGCATTGAGCTCTGAATTCATTGAGCAGCACAGCGGCTGCATCAATCTCTACATCAAAATGTATGAATGTGTGTCTGAGCTGTGTTTGTAGTCCTGCAGGGCAGTTCCAGCTGTGAGATTGAAAACCACGGGGGTGTGGTAACGCTCAGACCGCTGCCAGGCTGCGTCTGCCTGCTCAACCACAGAGAGGTCACTGAGCCCTGCAGGCTGGCTCAAGGTCAGCTTGTCTCTATTAAAAATCAAACTCTTTGTTCTCACTGTCTTGTCTCACTGTTGTTTCTCTTACACGAGACACATTCTGTATTCTGTACTGAAAAACTAAATGCAGCTGCATATTTTATTTGCTGATCGGAAAAAATCTGTTAAAGGACTTAAGTAGCATAAATGTCTGCCCTATCTTTTAAATCTGATACAAACATCAAATTAATAGCAAAATGTAATTTAAGTAAGCAGAAAAAATGTTGTATTTTCTGACCTTTTTTTTGGTGAGAACATAAGGTCAAACGCTCAGGAAATTAGACCTGTGACATGTATATCCTACAAAGAAAACATCTTAACATTTACATAATTACTTTTACTCATTTTTCACATAAATGGCATATTTTATTTTGAACTTGGTGCAACCAAAGTGAAAGAGGGAGTGAAATCAAAGGGGAACTCTTTAAAAAGGGGAGTCCCTGGTCTTTGTTTATTGACATTTGACTCTTCTTCATCAGAAACACATTTTGTCAACATTAGAAAATAATTTTTATAATATAAACAGTGGGGTATAAACAGAGGTTTTGGGCCAGACTAAGATAATGTATTTTTAAAATTACGAGAATAAAGTCTTAATATTTCCAGAATTAAGTCAAAATACAGTATTACCCAAATATAGTGGTAATATTGTTTGGTTTCACAAACAAGGAAATACTTCATTTTTTACACATCAGCATCAAATTATCATCAATAGCAGGACTTTGAAACGATTGTGCAAAGGACTGTTTTTGAAGAAAAGAACCACACGGACTCCCTCATAGGAGGCCAATAACCAAGAGGTGTTCAAGTGTTTCTTTGAATACTGTTTCTTACTCTTTTTTTTTAAGGAAGAGTGAAGCAGGAATCTTTCATTCTGTGTTCACAAGGTTAACCTCAAACATAATGCTCAGAGTCACAGCACACAATATGTTTTTAAAGGCTCTCTACCCAACACTATGATGCACATATGATCTTCCTCACTCACACTTCAATACATCTGGAGCCGTCTACAGCTAGCTACGAACTCATAAACGTAGCACTCACACACAGCAGCAAGCACACACACACATTTCATCGCGCTGAGCTCAGCATGTGATGCAGAACACGTCTCTATCTGCAGGAACAGTGATCACCCTGGGAGGAGTGCATAAGTTCCGCTTCAACCACCCGGCAGAGGCAGCCGTCCTTCGGGAGCGCAGGCGGGTAGGTGCTGCTTACCTGGAAACGAAAAAGATGCTGTTAATTAAGATCACAGGATAATATTTATAATAAGCAGACGATTAGAGGGATTCACTGAAGCTTATCACTTTAAAATGATTAATTTTTGTTTGTTTTCAGGCCAGTGAAGGTGTCTCAACCCACATCTACGATGACTTTTGTGCTCTAAATCCTGACAGAAAGTAAATATTATCCCAAACGGACAAAAAAAACTGTGTTTCCTATAACAACTTTCATCACTTTGTATATGTGTTCCATATACAGCTAAGTTTAAATCTGACTGTTCAAATAGTGCTGACACTGCAGAATGCTTTACTTTTTCTGCTTGGTGGGGGTTGTGTTTCCATTAGCCCCCTCCTTTTGAACAGTTGTTTACAGTTCAGACTCAGATGTTGCTTAGTTACTGCCAACAGTAGCTTCTGTCTGCTACTGCATCAACAAACCAAATTATTCCTGGGTCAGGTGAAATAATTGCTTTGCTTTGATTGCCTTATTACAAAGTCATTTCTCTGTCTGTGGACCATGTGTCTGTTTTTACAGTGCCAAACAACTGGAGCTCCCGCAGCAGCCGGGTGCCGTCGAGGAGCCTCCAGTCAGGCAGCAGGTGGAGGAGCAGAAACGCTACGTGGAGAGTTTACGACAGGAGATTCAGGCTGAGCAGAGACGGGTAGAAAGAGATCTGGAAAGGGAGCAGGCCCATCTCCAACAGCAGCATGCTGAAAGCAAGTGACTTATTTATTTATTTATTTATTTATTTATTTATTTCACAAATACTTCTAAAATCTAGTTTGAGATTTATCTCCTGCCTAAGCAGAATGGTTGGAAGTACCGGTAATTGTTTTATAAAGTTTTGTCCATGTGTTTGTACGTGTATATTCTCAGGTAATAGACCTTATACAAATACAAATGTGACTGGAACTCAGTCAGTTTTACAGATATTGACTTAAGATTTGGTTTGATTGTAGCTGAGACTGATCCCAACACATATTCTATGTGACAACAAGTCTTTCTTTAATATGTTGCCGTTAGCTACTCAGCTCTTTGTGTCTTGAACCACTGGATGGATTTTAATGGATGGACATCTGCAACTAACTTTTGCAACCAGTTTAATTCAAGGTGGTTGCCACAGTCAACAAAAAAATAAAAAATTAATAAAAAATTTGCAAAAATTCCTTTGATTCAGTCAATTTTACACATATTGTGCTAAAATTGTCATCATTTAAGAACAAAAATAGCCAAATCTATTGCAGTATTGTACAAAGTAAAGGATTTATTTCATGATAAAGGTCTATTTATATTATATAATGCAATAATTGTTTCACTTTTGATCTACTGTATTGATGTTTGGGGAAAATCGTGCAAAACAATTACAAACCCAGTTTTTTTTAACAGAAAAAAGCTGTAAGAATTATCACCAGAAAGCATTACTATCACCCATCAAATTCATTGTTCCATGGTGTTTTATCATTTATGTAAAGGCTCATAAAAACACATTACCTTCAAACATTCAATTACACTTTGTGAAAAGAGCAAGTTGTTACAATCTCAAGGGGATAGAGATGTTTGTTAAACCCAAATTTAGAACATGTTTAAAGGAACGGAGAACTTCAATAAGATTATTCCATAATCTTATTGATTATTATGGATAATTATTATGGAATAATCTGGAAGATGACATTAAAAATGCCAGATCGATGAGTATATTTAAGAGAATGATAAAGAATAATTTGCTGGAGACATATGAAAAGGTATGAATTGTTGTTCAAGGAGTTATACCTTTGTTCTTTTTCTTTTTTTATTATTTTTTGATTGAATTTATTTATTTGAGAAAAAGGGGCAGATATAATAAGATGTTTTCTTCTTCTGCTAACTTTCGTTTAATTTATGATTTGTATTTTTATTGTATGTTTAATTTGTTGTTTTTTTAATGAATAAACTAACTAAATTGTGTGTGGTTATAGCTTAGTCATTCACAACACATACTCTGAGCATGACATCTTGCATAAGTTCATAACACGCTTTTTAAGATTTGACTAAAAATTATTTCTCTACATAAGATAAACTTACTCTAAAACTCTGACCTGAAAGGAGGCAGACAGTATGCATGTTGTCAAGGAATGCTGGGCCTTTCTCTAAAGTGGTAGCAATTTCACCTGTATAGTAATTTAAGAATATCTAATACTAATATTTAGTTTTATTTATTTATTTTCCTTTCAGTCCAACAGTGGATTTTGCACCTGAAAACAGCAGAGCAGAGAGTCACCCAGGACTCTGGAGTTCAAGTAGACTTCCTTCCTGCTCCTCTTCTGGAGAAGCTAACGAGTCAGGTGTCCGTCAATCAGAGAGGTCTTATCATGGATTATCCGTCCCATGCAGTGAGGGTCAGGAAGAAAGCAGTCCAGGATGAGCTGCTGAAACACCACGCTCTTTGCCGAGCTGAGAGTCGCATCTATCGGAAAAAGTTGCTTTACCAGCTGAAGAAAATCACCAACAAGAGGCATCTGCTGGACGCTAAGAGAAAGTTACAGCAGCTGGAAAAAACCCTCCCTCCAGGACCAGACAGCTCAGAGTCTCCTGAGATGGGATCACCCATAAAACTGGGAGAAAATTCCTATGTTCACAGAAGACACTCGTTTTCAGCAGATCTTTTGTCCCGGCTTTACCCACAGCGCACACCTGTCTTCAGGTAAATCACAAATCAATAACAGCAACTACTACAGAGGATTAGGACCGCACTGAGGGAGAAAAACAGTTGAGGAGGTTGGGTTTCATATTAAATCAATAAGACTGAAGTGTAAATATTGTAGACAATAAATGATCAATTTTATTGACAGAATTATAAATACTATTTATTGAAAAACAGTAAATTATGTTAAAGAATATTTTAAATGAACCAACATTGTTACTTTTTCTTGTCAATAAAGTTTACTGTTTTTTTTTCTTCTGTGTGGCCCTAATACCCTGTTGTACAATGTGCTACAATGTAATACATTATATTAACGCATTCTGTACCTCTGTTTTATGTTTCTCTCATCAGTAGACACTTCTTGAAGAGAAACGAATCTACTGAACAGGCTTTAAATTCCTCCACAACATCTGATTCTCATGGCAGCAGAAAGTGGGTTTCAGATGAATGTCTTCCCCGAGAAAGAACCCAAAGTTGTTCTGGTTGTGTTTTCTCTGGAAAGCATCAGTCCTCAGATATCGTCAAACAAACTACCAAAGAGGAGTCACAAGCTCAGCCACGTCTTGGACAGTTGCAACGAAAATCTTTGCTGCCAAACCGAGACTTAAAGCTTCGGAACAGATTGGACCAGAACGCAGCAACCACACTAAAAGCTCCTTCTCCCACCTCCTCTAGATCAGTGCCAGCCAGCAAGGAAAATAAACAAATAACCAAAGCAGATAAACTTGCAAAGAGCTCTTCTTTAAACGATAAGGGCTATTTTTACACAGATACGAATGAGCAGGAAACCATCAGGAAATCTCGTTCTCATTCTGTGGGACCCAGAATAAAAACAGCTTTGTCCAAAGTTTTCAGGAAACCACCCTCAGGTGTGAAGGGAGGTCGAGTCTTTAAGCCTCTTGGCAGGATGACAAGTAAATTTCACTGGAGACGAAGAGGCAGCAAAAGCCTTAAAGAAACTAAAATTAATAAATGTGCCATTAAAACAGCGGTCTCGTGTGAGGAGCTTGATCAGAGGGTTCAGACTGAGAGCCACGGACAGAGGCGATGGCATAGCACCGAGGCTCTAATGAACAGGAACATCGTTTCAAAAGAGCGGCAGCAGGGATTGATCAGATGGGTCGAAGAGCAAGAATTAAGGAATGAAGGAGCGTCAGACTGCGAGAGCCTTTTCTCTCTCGACTCCCTGTCCTCTGCTTATGCAACAGCCCTGGCAGAGCAGCTGAGACATGAGGAGACGAGTGAAGCAGAGAGCGAAGACAGCGAGATGTCTAAAGATTCCTTAACTGTGGGGAACAGTGGGAGAGTCCCAACAGTGAAGAGATGTAAACAAGCAGTGGCACCAGTTTACTCACTGGTGACGGATTCTGCTCCATCAGCTGTACAGAAATGTAAAACTGCAGAGCTCTGCTCCCAGAAACTTACTGCAACCCAAGCAGAGGTACACTGGGGTCAGCAAACCTCGTCAAAGGCAAGACAAGTCGATCCAACTTGGAAGTCCCCTTCTCAGGTCTCAATAATCACAGATTCCAGAGAGAGAGACACTGTAGATGAACTCACAGAGGACTTTGGGAACTTGCAGACCACTGGGACTGGCAACCCTCTCTGCAGTGTGAAGGAGCCAGAAAACCTGCAGGTACTCACTGATACCTCCTGTTCAGAGGCAGCTGAAAGTCAGAAGGTCGACAGGGATTCTCTGCCCTTACAAAAGCAACTAATGGTGCAAAATGCTGAGAGCAGCATGAATCTCTCAAACTCACAGAGTGGATCTATAAGAAATGATTGTATATCAACCAGCACTGAGGATCTAAATGTTACAGCTCAGGAAAATAACCTTGTCATGTCGAGGGAGTCTCGCGCTTATGCAACCTCACAAGACGTCCTGAATTCAGGTCACCATGAGGATTCAACGTGCTATATGGAGCAATTACAAACAAATAAAATAACTTTAAGTACAAATACTTCAGTCTGCTTCTTCAATAAAACACTACCTGCTTCAGATCAAGCTGTTTCACTGACAAACATTTCCCAAATCCCCGAAGCATCATCAGTTAAATCTCACGAGTCAGCAGATGTCCTTAATGGGATGGTTTCTGACATAACAGTGTCTCGTGATGCTGAAGCGTGCTGCACAAATTTTCTTTCTACAAGTTCTGCCATCGGTGTTGAAGTGCAAGATGGCGTCCCTGCTGCTTTAAATCTGTTCAAATCTTCCTCTAAAGAGAAAACACCAGATGATAGAGAAGACCTGAACAGTTTTAGAGATGAACGGGACAATTATTTTGCAAAAACAGAGTCTGCACCAGTTACATGGGATGAAACCAAAAGCACTGAGCTGCTTGTTGCTCCGCAGCAGGAAGCCGTTAAATTGGGTTATAAAACTTCCAGAAAAAGGAACAAAGACCAACAGATTGCTTTAACGGGTGGCCTGAAAATACCAAAAAGAAGCAGTAGCAAGGAGGTTGTAACTTTGTGCTGTACACCAGGTGACATCCTGGAAAATATTTGGCCCAAGGACCAGAAAAACAATGTTTCTGTAAAAGAGCAGTTTGTTGTAGAACCTGACAGCAGAGGATTTTTTTCTGTTGGTGTTAAAGGCAGTGCTTCAGATGAGATTAAGAGTAAAGAACAGCAGCCAAGTGGTCAGATCTTTGAGGATAAACAAGCTACCACTGCTGGAGACAATGAGTCAGCTAAAAATGAAGCTAAAGCGCACAAGAAAGGTTATGAAGAAACAGAAAATGGAGAATGTCAAACTGATAGTTACAGAAAGCATGAAGGCAGTGCAAAGCACACCTGCAAATCAAATGCCATTTGCAGCGCTATTGATCTAAGAATCTCTGAAGTGGTAAAAGAGCACATGAAACGGTCAGTTATTGGCAGAGATGGTGCTCAAAAGTGCTGGAGTCAAAGTGGGAATTCCTTGTCATCTGCATGTCATTTTAGCTTTGATGGAGATGAACTCAAGTGGACAGAAGAACAGCTGAACGCTGAAAAGGTCAACGATGTGAAAGAAGGAATGAAGTTCTGTGGAGGTCCTCCAGCGGAGAGGGTGATGAGCAACAACACATTAATCACAACTGAGCAATTGAAATCAAATAGGCCAGTTGAGCTGAAGAACTTCCTTGAACGTTGCAATTCTCAGGAAAACCCAATAAATGAAAGAGTTTCACCTCAAGAAATAAATGAAAGAGATGAACAGAAAGTAACATCTCTTAATCTGGTCCCCAACAACATTTGTTTAAAAAACTCGAACAGTCACACCAGTTCAGACGTTCCTAATTTTAATTCTGACCTCATTCACCAACTTCAGACTCAAACTTCAAACCCAAAACATCATAAAATACCCCATGAAACACCTTCCACCAGCAGACACGCAGATAACTATGGCTGTACTGCTTCAGACGATGGCTGCACAAAAGCAAAAGCCAATTATTTATCCAAACAAAACTCACCAAAGACGATTCAGCATTGCCAAACCAGTCCTGTTATATCTGACGCTGTTGAATCCTTAGAGTTAAAAGCAGACAAACATCACTGCATCCAGTTTACTCTTACTCTTCCTGTCCATGAAGGAAATATTCACCTGAACTCCTGTGCACAAGCCAAACCTACCTGTAGTTCTGCAACATCCAGGGAAGCCGTGATAAACACAGCTGTTGCTACATCAGGGAATCCTGCTCTTAAGAATAAAAAGATCAAGACAAAGAAGTTCAGAAAGTCTAATGAGACTTGTTCCACTTCTGACTCGTCATCAGATGAGGATGAGGATGGGAAGAACGCGATTCAATTGCAAAACAGCAGGCTGACTCCTAAATGGGTTAGTAAAGGCAAACAAGAGCTCCAATGGACAAGAAGTAGCCATGAAGAACTGTCCCCTTCACTGTCAGCAAACAAACCTAAAATGACAATCTCTAATAGAATCTCAGGAAAAGGAGGGGCTTATGTCCCAAAAAGACTCTCTTTTCCTCCCCGAGGGGAATTGCACAGAACAGATGCAGACAAAAGTCTCTATGCAAAGAAAAGTGAAGCAAATCATAAACCAAAGTGTCAGGATTCTTCTATTCATTTTGCATCCAGTGACATAAACCCATATGTTCACCAGTGGCAATACGACTCAAACCAACACAAGAGCCCGGTATTTGGAAGTGCAGCTGATCTTTCTTCGAAATCTCCACTTTTGAACAACTCTGACAGACGTATGACAAGATGCTGCAGTGCCGAAAATGGTTTAAACGGACAGAATTCTCCTTTTAACTCCCACCTGAGTGCGTATGCAACCAGCAGGGGGCTTTCCAGTACGCTTAGCAGCATTGAGGATTATAAAAAATCGTCTGAAGACTCTCACAGTCGCTCAGTTAACAGCAGTTCTTCAGGTAACGATGCTGCTGGTGGTTTTGACACCAACTCCAGTCAGGTGGATGAAATCATGCTCGTTTATTCAGAGCAAGAGTCAAAAAAGAGCAAATCACAAAAAAACAGGAGGAGGACGTGTGAAGACAGTACTCAAACGGAGTGTGCCGCGCCGAAGAGGAAAGGTCTTCAAAAAAAGAGCAGCACTGACGTTCCCTCGGCTCAGAGAAGCAAAGTGGATGTTAAAGAATCTCCGACTTGGGCCAGTATGGAGAGCATGTCAGCTCACCTCACCAAGCTGATTGATAGCACTTCAGATCTGCTGGGGGACATTCAGGGGATGAGGACGGGTGACGTCTCCAAGTCTAGTTCAAGTAGCATCAACGTCTCGTCCAATGAATCCACCAAACAACACAGCTCAACTCAGACAGCCTTAGATGTTGGGATTCAGACTGAAGAGGTTACTGAGGTTGGTGTTCCTCCATTGTCCAGAGAGAATTACAATTCTCATGAAATTAATGTGATTGTGAAAGTCATCGGTTCCGACACTGTCCGAGTCTCTCAAGAACAGAATGCAGACTCTGTGATGAAACTTAAAACTCACACAGACGTAAGGAGGCAGAGCATGCCAGACCAGAGGCTGAACAAGTCAGTGGTAGACCCTCTCAAATCAGTTGATTGTCACAGACGTGTAAAGTCAGCTTCGTTTCGACCTTTAAAGCACAGCACACCGGAGTCTTTGGGCCGCAGAAGTGTGGCAGTGTCTGAAATCTCCACCAGATCATCAAAAAAGTGCTGTCAGGAACATCATAGCCCTGATTCAGCAAAACACCCATCTGCTTTTTTGCAAAAATCAGCTACCTACAAAGACCGTGCATCGTCTCCCATTCGTACTTTAGAAACAAGATTACAGCTGAGGCAGGGAGGAAAACAATCACATTCAAAATACAAGGATTCAAGGCATCCCTCCGAAGAAGGCAGCCTTACTGTTCTTTCTGTGTCCGATGACTGTTCAAGTCCCAGGCAGGGCTGTGAACTTTCCTCTTCTAAACCAGAAACTAGATTATTTGAGAGTTGCTCAAATCTTCAGGAATCAGAACGGTGCTTCCTAAGCCCTCGATCGTTGCTGGATAAATATACAGATACTGACAACAGAAACTTGAGCTACAAAGATCCGGATCAGTGCAGCTCCAGATGGCAGGTGACCTCCCAACAGTGGAGCACCTCGACTACACAGAACCACGTCTCTCCTACATCGAGACACATTTCTGTTCATAAACAGAACTTCACAGTTGATTCTGGGGATTGCTGCACAGAAGATGACCTGGTGTCACTAACACCCAGCGAGTGCAATACAGAAGTCCTTGTAAGCATCAAACCTGACGCCAACGTGTCCGCTTGTGAAGAACGTCAGAGAGTCCCGGAGGACCTGCCCATGCACAACAAGTTCACTAACTGGTCGGGCATCAGCCACCACCAACAACCAAAGAAACTGACCAGTGAGCTCAAAAACTGTGCCGAGTGTGGCGAGATGGAGAGCTCGGGTTTAAACGTGGAGGCGAGCGACAGAAGAGCAGCAGAGATAATGAAGCTGCGACAGGAGAGGGAACGAGTGATGGCCACTGTCACCCTCAGGACGGCTCTGACACCTCTGACTGTGGAGCTGACAGAGGCCAAGCTCCACTATGGGCTGGGAGAGACAGATGCTTTGTTGAAGATCCTCTCCCCGAGGTCCAAAGAAGAGCAGCAACCACCGACCTCAACTCCCACCAAACAGCAGCTTTATGACAGGTGAGAAAGAATTACACTGTCAAATGATCTAAATACATTTTATTTGGACAAATTGACTCCAAGTGCAACAAACACTAGCTTATAACATACACTCTGCTCTAGAATTTTATTTATTTTCTAGTTTCTGTTAGAAAAAAATTCTTTATCCTGTTGAGGATAGACCAACACCTGATCTAGCATCTAGTACTTGCTTTGATTGAGTACTGAACACAAATTCATCATTAAGTATTATCTGTCCAAAGCCCATACTCTACATGTCAACCCCTTCAGATGTCTACCTGTTTACTGAATAGGGGTGTCCCGATACTAGTTTTTCTCAAACCAATTTTGAATAAGAGTACTTCAGTTAAGATATTTGCTGATACTGAGTAATTACTGAGTTAGAACATAAAAACAATACACAATAACTTTAAAAACACATTTATTTTATTGTATGTGGCTCTGCTTTATAGGACTACAACCCATTTGACTGTATCAAATATACAGCATGATTTGTACTGTTGCAAAATTTTAGAATAAACACAAATAAAGTTTATTTCAACTTGTATAACCCTCTGAACATGGAGCTGACAAATCTTTCACTTGAAACATAGACTCTAACTAGGGCTGCACCTAACGATTATTGTGATAGTTGGTTATGTGTCGATAATTTTTTTTTGATGAATCGATTAGTTGATTAGTCACTGTTATTTCTGTCACAATGTCCACCTATAATTCCTGTTCTAGCCCCAGCAGATCTCACCCGCTCACACCTGAGAATGTCTCCGTTATCCAGTCTCTCTACCGTAACATAACAAGTTCCCATAACAATTTTAAATAATGACCCATAAAATTTAAGCTTAATACTGTAGCTTAATCACATTTTCTAACATTAAAATCATAAAAACAATTAACTACAAATTCAACTGCAGGTAGTTTTCTAAAACAGCTAATGTACAAATAACTCAAACTAGCAGCCTCTCCCCAAGCTTGAGGAGCTTTTAACCTGCCTGCTGCCAAAAATAAACTAAAGAATAACTTTGTGTAAAGTGGCATTCAAGTGCACAAAAATATTACTGGATTTGGCAACCCAAAAGTTCAAATAAGATTTTAACACACACACAAAAAAAGAACGAGACAGAATGGATTATTACTATAATTCAGTGATTTAATATGATGGCACTTACTGCTTTAGCTAATGTTAGCATAACTGTATTTCATTGCAGATACAAATGAACATTTATGTGGTTAAATAATATGAATATTCGATATTAAAATTCCATCTTGACTATTTTTTTAATAATCGACATAACTGATCAGTGCAGCATTAACTGCAACACATTCAGTGAAGCTTTGATACCATTATACCAGTATCAGCATTGGTATACTGGTATCAGTTCCAAGTTTTGGGGAAATTTGTACAAGTACTTGTAAAATACTGGTATTAGGACACCAATAATAATGACATTAAAAAATCCACATACTTGACAATAAATCCTTAGTACTCTCACACAACACAAACTTTATTTACAGCATAAATATAATGTTGAATGTAGATATATATACAACTGAAATATACATTTCAACCAAGAACACGCCTCACAGTCCTGAACAAGCATCAGAGCTGATTGGTTTGATATGTGTGTCCGGTCAATCCACATGATGCTCTGGAGAGATCATAGATCAAGTTGGTCAAAAGAAGAGGGCCTACACAATCTTTTAACACCCTAGTGTTAATGTTAGAGTTCTCTGAATGCAGAAATACATCACAGCGACCTGCAGGCGGGCCGTCATCTAGACATATAAAGAAATAGAAGCTAAGTTTTGGAAAAATTTGTGAGACTTTTTCTGTATGCCCATCGTCATGAAAAATGGGGGAAATCTGTGTATTTATAGACAGTCCATAAGACTAGACATGTTAGAAAGCCAAGTATTTGTGCATACGGGTATTCAGGCATTTTAATTGTTTATTCTTAGGCATCGCCGGAGCATTGAGGGTTTGAAGCAAGAGAGAGAGGAGCGACTTCAGACGTATCAGGGAGTCCGCAGACTGAGTCTCAGCAAACATCCATGCAGCCCACGACAAGAAGTCATTTCCTCTGCTGTTATGCCTAACCTGCGCAAAGAATACCCTCAACAGCACCCCCAAGTGATCGATAGTACCAGGTGAGATAATGTACAATCACTAGAAAAATCTTAAAGCTAGTTAGTATCTCACTAGCTTGAAACTGCTATTAAACGGCATTCTGAGAGTGTCTCCAAAATGTTGCAGAAGGTTTGCAGGGCTTCTCAGGTTCCTCGTCTGAGCTGCAGAGGCTTATCGCTTCAATTTTGAACACATTAGAAAAAAATGTGACAAAAAAATCATGCGATTGATTGAAAAAAAAACATACCATTAATAAATATCTGGTCCAAATCTGCCTCTTTTCTTTTATTTCTAAGTTGTACTTCAATAAATTTAATCATATTCGTGGGGGAAGTTACCAAGATCGGACAAAGTAGACTTGAGTTGGGCACAAAATATTGTGCAGTTTCAAGAATAAAGTTGTGCAAGCTGTGTTCACAAATATAAGTAATGGCTTTCACAACTGTTGCTCAAATCAAGGCCATAAAGCTCAATGATCACGAAACATTCAGAATTTACTGAGATTGCAACCAATTATTTGCCAATTTTCTTTCCATTTTGAGCCCCAAAATAGTTCCCTACAGTCACAGCCCAGTGTGGTACCACTGTTTGTGTTTTTTACTGTAGTTGTTCATAAAATAATTTATATTTCAGGTTAACAGATCCTCCGATAGGAGAGGCACAGTTTCCACCTGACATTGAGCAACTGTTGTGGGACTATGGCCGAGCCCGGGAAGAAGCCAAAACAGAAATCGCAAAGGCACGGGAGAGACTGCGAGAGAGGACGGAGCTGGAGAAAAAGAGACTCCAGCAGCTTGCTGTTTCTCAAGATGTGAAGGTCAGTTTTTTGTGTGTAAATTCAGCCATAATTAACTTTCTCCAAGTGTTATATGACATTGTAGAGAGCAATTAATGACACCCTTTAGGTATGCTTATAAATGTTTTCTTTAAATTAAATGGATTTTGTGTGTAATGCACAGTGGAAGATGGTACAGTCCTGACGCCTGTTGACTTAATTTAACCAGGATGACCTGAAGCATCGGACCAGAATTAGCAGCAGCACTTTGTGCACAGGATCCAGTCTGAGTCTCTCCTCTGGACTGACATCAGGGTACAATAGTAGCAGCACTGCTCAAGTGAAGTTTTGGAACAGACCAGTTTTAAATGGAAAGGTTTGCTTCTTAAATTACAATGTCTGCACATCTGTAGCGTTTGATTATTTTTTTTATACATATATGAAACAAAAAGTCTCATTATATCGTTGATGCTTTCCTCTGGTTAGATCACAGGAATCCAGGATGAAGGATGTAAACTTTGGACATGGTTTCCTTCATGTGCTTCTCAGAGTGTGAAAACACAGCGAACATGGCTGTCAGCCCACGGTAACGTCAGCACCATCACTCATAAAACTCAAGCAAACATTTCATGTTCAGTTATTCACTGAAAGCATCTCAACTTCTGATCCTTGTAGAAAACATTTAGGTAAAGGGACTACTGTAACAGGCAGCATTCAGAAAGGATATATTAAGAGTTTTGCCCAGATATTTTACTGATGTTGGTGATTTTAAGAATGCCAGTGCATAAGTGCTAAAGCAATATGACTAGGGTTGGGAGGTATTGATCATTTTCATACTGTGGTATAACCTTTAGAAAATACTGCGGTATAAGGTATTACAGGGGTGGGGTGTGGAGTAATTAATAATTAACAGAAACAGCTGTGAGCATTTACATGCCTATAGTGTCAGCTGTTCTGACGTTGCTGTCACTCAGAGCAGCAGAAGAGGTGTCACAGAATGTTTTTGCCCCTTATTAAGTCCAACAGATCCAAATAAGTCCAACTACGTTTTTCTAGGGTTTTAGGTTTCAAAATAATCTGAGTCTTACTATGGTTGTTGCACGCTTTTAGCGAGGAATGTCTTTTGCCAGTAATGTTTGTAGTTCTTTCCTCATCTGCAGGAAGGAGATTGCGGGTTTCGTAAAAAATAAAAAAATCACAAAGTTTAAATCTGAAAGGAGTGCAGCTATTTGTTTGACTTAAAAAACTTGCAGCTGGGTGGTCCCTGGAGCTGTCAGTCAGCGCTACACCGACCATCTTTTCAGGAGCCGACGAC